ATATTATTACGTACCTTGTTTGCCGCCTGAAAGTGTATCTCGATTGGAAAATATCTTTTTAGCTCTTTTGTTTAACACAGAAGATCGTAAAGAATTTGGAAATAAACAAACATTCGCACCTTTAATTGAGGAATTGAATTTTTTAGAACAAGTTGGAATAACAATTACTGTTAATGGAAACCATCATCAAATTTATTTCGTGCTAGGTTTACTATTGGGCGATAATTTAGGTCTGCATGCAATGTGTGGATACGTTGAAAGTTTTCGAGCTAACTATACATGTCGATTTTGCAAAATGCATCGTACCATTTCTCAAACTACTTGCCTTGAGGATGATTCTATTCTTAGAACACATGAATCATATAATACAGACTTAGTTTTAACAAACAGTTCACTTAGTGGAATCAAAGAGGACTGTATCTTTAATGCAATCGCTTCATTTCATGTTATAGACAATGCAATGTTGATATCATGCATGATATTCTAGAAGGCATCGCTCACTACGATATGATACCAATAATAAATCATTTTATTCAGATTGGCGATTTTGTTTTATCAGGTCTCAATTATAGTCTGCAGATGTTTGATTATGGTCCTAGTATACAAAATAAACCACCTCCTATTGCACCTGATTTTGCAACAAAAAGTAAGTTAAAAATGACAGCTTCAGAAATGTTAACTTTTTGTCAATTGTTTTGAGTAATTATTGGACATAATGTGAAATCGTATATAATGACCCATTTTGGAAATTGTACTTATTGTTAAAAGAGATAATTCAATTTGTTTTCACTAAATCAGTATCACAGGAATCTGCTTCCACCTTTAAAATATTAGTAGAAGAGCATCATATTCAATATATGAAATGCACAAAGTAAGGTTTGAAACCAAAACATCATAATCTCATTCACTATGCAAGAGTCATGATACAATGTGGACCACTTGTTTCCTTATCTGTAATTAGACTTGAAGGTTTTCATAAAGTTCTCAAAAAGATTTCAAATGTTGTCATGTCAAGGAAAAATATTGCTCTTTCAATTACTACTCGATATCAGTTCTTATTTTGTTATAAACTTATGGCTCAAGAAAGTATTCTTCCAAACATTCAAATAGGATCAGGAAATGTCATAGATATTAGTGAACATCACCATTTCAATAATTTTGTGTTATCATTACCAGATGATATAAGTTACAATGCATGTTTTGTTACTAATTCGATCGATTATAAAGGTACTCGATATAAATCTAAAATGGTATTACTTTGTGGAATAGAAGAAACTTTTTGTCCAATGTTTGCAGAAATTCAATTTATTATCATTCATCATAATAGTCCACTTTTTATTTGCTCCTCTCTTATAAATATAGGCCTGAATTGCAGTATTGGTGGTTTCGAAGTGGAACAGAGTATAAAATGGCTCTCGATTAAATATGAAGATTTAGTTGATCCTTTTCCTTTGTTCGTATATACTATGGGAAATGGTGAACGATACATTATTTTACGTCATTACGTTTAATATCATATATA